TAAGTTTTGGAACTATTTTTATTCTATTATTTTCTATTGAAAATTTTGGTAGTCGAGTGATTTTTTGAGATTTTTTATGGAAAATTATAGCTTTTGATTTTTCTTCACTTATTGTCAGTTTCAATTTGTTGCATTCAGTTTTAAAAAGATGAAGAGTTTTTATTTACATTATTTTCCAGAATATTTCTTGTTCTACCACTGGTCACAAAAGCTGCGTCGTCAGCAAAAGCAACATTTTGTGTATGGGTTGGCCATTTGAAAGATGTTATTGAGTTAAACGTAAGGTTCCAAAGGTCAGCACTAAGGCAGGAACCTTGTGGATAACCTCTTTGTTGGGCATATTCTATTATCTTATTGTTGTATATTATAAAACTTTTTCTTTCACATAGATAATCTTGAAGTAAGTTAAATATATTTTTTGGACAATTTGCTTTTCTTAATGCTTCAAGTACAGATGGCCACCATAATGAGTCAAAAGCTTTGGTTAGATCCAGGCAAATAAAATCAGAATGCAGATTATTGGAGTTATTGATATGAATTTGGTTTAAAGCTGAATCTATGGCATTCGTTGTCGATTTATTCGGGATGAATCCAAATTGATTATTGCTGATAAATTCTATTTTTGTTAGATGATGTCGTAGGCGATTTGCTATTATTCTTTCTAAGACTTTTCCTATTACCGGTAATAAGTTGATTGGTCTCTATGACTTTAGAGTATTTGTATCTGTGCTTGGTTTGTTAAACAAAATGACTTGACCAGTTTTGAAATGAGTAGGAAATGTGCTTTACTGAGATCTGAGAAAATAGTTCGATCAATAGAATGAATAAGTTGGACTATTTGGTTAGGTATTCCATCTGGTCCTGGTGCCTTATTTCTTGCTAAATTTTTTATTATATTAGAGATTTCCTTTAATGTAAATGGAAAGTCATCCATTGTATCTGGAGCTGTATTATTATTTCTGATGTACGATTGTTCAGGAGTATCTTCTTGAGAGGAGTCTTGTTGAAAAACTTGTTCCATGATATTAGAAAGAGTTATTAAAGTTGCATCTTGATCTTGATGTTGAGATTGATTGAGGTTTGAAGTGATGGAGATTTGGGTTGGTTTAAAAACTTTGTTCATACAGATCTTGTAAATATTTCCATATCTTTCTGTGTTTTTGGTACAATAATCTCTCCAGCATTTATTTTTAGCTGATAGTATCATTTTTTTATACATTGCTTTTTGTTGTGAGTATATAATGTAAAATTTATCTTTCAGTTCTTGAAGGGAGGCTTTTTTCATTTTCCTATAGAATGCTCTTGTTTGTTTTCTCTGTATCCTTAATTCTTTAGTCCACCAGTTTAAGTTAAGTTTATTATTTGGTACTTGGGTTATAAATGATTGTTTGCAGCAGTGCTGTATGAATGTTGTAAGGTTTTCCATTGATTTATTGAGTGTGATTTTATCAGATGAATTATTGATTTCCCGATGGATCTTGAAGAGATCTTGTTTCATGAGCTGAATAAAAGTTTTAATAGATCTTGGATTAATTTTAAACCGATGAGCTAAGGTTATTTCAAAATTAAGATCTATTCTGAATGAAGATTATTTTATGGTCAGATAGCGATATGGTATCTAAAACTTCCCATGATAAAATTTTGTTAGCGATTTGATATGAGGTAATAGTTAAGTCAGGCCATCCACGTCCATGTATTGTTTCATACGTAGGTAGGCTGTTATCATTATTATGAAGAATTAAATTATGTTCTGCTATAAAATTTTTGACATGCTCACCTCTTGTAAGGTAAAACTTAAGTCAACAAACTTAAAACTTAAGTCTTGTAAAACTTAAGTCAACAAACGGCCCTCTTTTCCTCATGCAAAGACAAAAACAAAACTTACACAGAATTACAGAAGCTCTATTCAATTCAATTCTATTGGCCCACCAGCGGCCGAGCGGTAAAAGCCGCTGAACACTGGTAGTTCGTTCCGGGGTTCGAATCCTGGCGAACGGGCTGGCTGCATGGGTGTTTTCGTGGTTTTCCCCATATGTAACATGGATACGAGCCAGTTTCCCTTAAAAAGACCTCCACGGGGCATCCCTCCCTTTCCGTGTAGTGCCTAAGGGCGGAGCACGTAGTAAATAAATAAATAGTTCAATTCTATTATATGAAAACACTTATTGTTTGTAAACACTGAAAACATCTAAATAAAACTTCCTTAAATTAACAGCAGTCGCCCCTTTTGTAAATAAGTCTGCAGTATTTAATTTATTGGTGATAAATTAGTGCCTTTAGCTATGAGAAGATAAGTTATTGGTATCTGGAAATGTTTAAATTTTTCAAAAATTTCTTCGATATATTTTTGCTGATGTATAAAATCCCCATTCTCGTTCTCTAAGAATTCAATTTTAAGTAACGTTTTAGTTTACCCTAATACTTTAAGATAAAAAAACTTACTCAGCTAAGAAATTACTTATCTATACTATGTTGATCTTTACTAAAAATCACAATATCATCTACATATAACAAGAGAATTACATTTGAACTCTTATAAACACAATTACACCATTGTATTTTCTTAAAATGTAGATTTTCTAAAGTACTTTCAAATTCACAAAACCATTCATGGCCGCTTTGATGTAGACCGTAAATGGCCTTGTGTAATAAACACACTTTATTTTCCTCTTCAATAAATCCCTCTGGTTGGGTCATATATATTTTCTCATTTAGGTTTGCATATAAATATGCATTCTTTACATGACAATTAGTCCATCCATATAAACATACCAGCACAGTGACAAATATTCTTACGATTGAAAAATTTACTACAGGACTGTAAACATCATCAAAATCTTCACCTCTTTTCCGCCTGAATCCCTGTGTTACTAAACGTGCTTTGTATCTAACCACTTCATTCTTTTCATTACTTTTTAATGTATAGACTCAATTTGTTTCCTAGCATAGTTTTACTTTCTGGCTTTTCAACTAATTCCCAAACCTTTCTTTTCTTCATTGCGTCAATTTCTTCTTTCATTGCCTTATCCCATTCTTCGGCATTTACTGATTTTCGTGCTTCTTTAAAATTTTGTGGGATAACAATTTCTACGGAATTTGCCTCTTCAGACACGGAGCTAGTCTCCTGTTCTACAAAATTAACTTTCCCGAGTATTCGTTTTTTCTAAAATCAAACTTATTTTTTTCGTTTCGATACGGATATATTTTTCTCAGGGTCTGTTAACGGGGTTTTGCTCATTTGATTTAGGTCGCCAAGGCTTTTACGCATCAGCGTGAAGTCGGAAATACTTTTGAGTTCAATAACAATAGTATTTGGTTTAATCCTATGCTGTTGATAGTAATGCATTATTTTTGCTAATGGCGATACAATTATTAGTTGAAAACAACTAATTAATTAAAAAAATTTTAATATTTTTAAAGCTGAAAACAACTAATTGAAACTAATTTTCCTGAATTAACTTTCATGAATTACTAAAGTTATTGGGTAGAAGTTTAACTGAAAATCTGCTTTTACCTATGGTTGCAAAATGTCCCAGCAGTTGAAAGAGCCATTGAAATATGGGATGACTTGCTACTGTACATTAAAGAAGTTGAAATGGGGAAGTTTAAAAAAAAATTCATCGAAATCCTTCTCAAATATTTTGGAGGCAACTAAAGATAAAACATTTCTGATAAAATTTGATTTTTTTTCTCTCTCTGTTGAAAATATTATTGCCTTTCCTTGAATATTATCACAGTGATAAACCACTTGTTCCCTTTTTTGCTGAAGATATCTTAAGTTACTCTAATAAATACAATAAAAACATCAATTTTTAACCGCAGAAGAGTCAGTGACAGAAAAGAGAAAAAACTAGTAAGTCCACAGTGCTCTAATGAATCAAATAAGCAAATGCATGAAATTTGCTATAGTATGAATTGCATGATAATGAGAATGGGAGGATTAAAAAGTAGAGAATAAATCCAAATTTAAAGTTTCATACATATTTTGAGACTTCACGATGCGTTTAAATGAAGATTAAACGAAATTAAATAATAAATAAACATCACATAGCAATTAAATATAGGTGGATCAATTATTGTATTGATGTTTATAGCATATTGCATTGTTTTATTTTATGACATAACTCAAATGTTGCATAATAATGAGCAGTGAAGTTAACAAAATAAATTAAAAACTTAACTGCAGGCATTTTGGATAAAAACATTGTTAAATATTAATAACAGTGTCTAAAATGCAATAAATAAATGCCCTAAGTTTAATGCCAGTGAATGTACTTCCATCTGATGCAATAAGCACACTGCATGCAGTTAGAGTTTGGTTTATTTCATTATGGCAAAGCACATAAAGACTATCTGCTTAAGGGGACAGCTGCCTCTATAAAGGACTTTCAAGGAAACTGGCTGGTATCCATTACACATGGGGAAATTATGAAAATGCCCATGCAGCCAGCCTGTTAACAGGGATTTAAACCCAGACAAGGCTACTGGTGTTCAGCAACTTTACCTCTCGGCCACTGGTCCAGGCAGAAAGGGAAAAATTTGGCTGCTCCTTCACATTGTAGGGGGGAAAAAAGATTTTTCTCACTGATCTTCTCAAGATCAGCTGAATGCGTTTATGTCAAATACAATTTTTTCTTTTTGCCTTTTGTAATATAAGATACCATAAAACTAGTGAAAAATTTTGTATGTAGATAGTTTTAAGGTCACTACTGTTCAATATTGCTTGCTAACCACTGACAGAATAAATCAGTTTACATTTTATTACACTTATGAGAAATCACCCTAAATTTACATGTTTAGAAACTCAAACTATACTTACTGAAAAATGCAAATCAATAATAAAATAGCTTAATATTTTTATTTATGCTGTAAAGCAGCATACTATTCTCACTATTTTTAGATGGCTATTAACTGGGGCTTACCTTCAGTAATTCATAAAAAAATTAATGCATTTCAATTTTTAAAATGATTAAAAATGAAATATTTACAAAAGAACTTACCTAATATCTCTGCCCTCACTTGTATATTACAACTATACATAGCAGCCATTAATCTTTGAGGCTGTGCTTGAAATGATTTTCTGCAAGCTTCTTTCACTGTTGACATTATTTGGCCTGTAAAGGGCCCAAATGGTGTGCTACTAGCACTACTAGGTCCACTTGAAGCAATACTAGCTGCATCTGCTGAGAAAGTCTGTAGCACAGGATGATCTAGTAATACAGAATTAGAAAAGTCTTGTTTATCTGCAGCAACAGATTCAGTTTCTTCACAAGTATTTGAAGATACTTCTTTCTCAAAAGTCCAGTCTTCAACTATAAAACAAACACCCATCATAGGTTCATCACATAAAGGACCACAGAGAGAGGCAAGCTGAAAACCACTGATAAAAGAACTATCATAATTAAAATGCGGAGATTCAGGAATGAAATCTGGATCTTTCACTGTCCATATTGAAGGTCTACTGTAGCTAGGTATTTGATTAAGTAATATGTTAGGTCCACATCTACGGGGACCAAATGACCATATCTTATCAACAGCATTTCTCCATTCATTTCCAGATTTTACAAAAAGATCATTTAATTTAGCTTTAAATTCTGCTATAACTTTAAGTGTTTCAGAACTTAGACATGTATCATTATTGTCACTATGTAAAGAAGAGTATGACTGATCAATAACTTTCAACAGATCTGCATTCTTTTCTAAAAATTGTGTTATTTCTGAAGGGAGAGGTTTTGCATGCATGTGAATGCAAGATATTTTATTCGGAGTTTTTAGTTTGATGTACCCATCATTTTCGAGATCCTTTTCAATGTTTTCCTCTGCCTGTAAAGATGTATAATTCTAGATTAAAAATATATTAAAATAAAACAAATAAGCTAATTTTGTAAAAAACCCTTTTCTTAAAAAAATAAATAAATACATAAAAAAATTAATTAAGAAAAAAGAAAGGAATGAAAATTTAAAAAAAAAAAAAAAAGCATTACTCATTCTGGGCAAAAAGCGCAATTATGCAACTTCATTTATTGTCAAGATTTCTGTTAACTAAATTTGTTTAAATGAACAGTAACATTAAATGGCATCTTCAACATACCTATAAAATAATCTAATGCAAATAATAAACAGATAAATAATAAAAATGTTTAAGTCCTACTTTGGGTACTTTTTTCTGTTGAGATTTTACATCAATAGCTTCATTTACCATATCGAGCTTCGGCGGAGGAATAACTGTTTCACGAAATGGAACAATTGGTGCTGAAACATTTACCTCTATCTTTGCAAATCTATGCAAGAAATAATTTAAACTTTAATATACTTTTTTAAGCAACTCATATGTAGTATAAATTAAAATTAATGAACAAAAAGAGTACTTTTTAAGTACAGAAATAAGAGACACATACATTAACACATTAATGCATTCGACAAAAAAATTAAATATACACAAATCCGTGACAAAAGTCATGGGATACCTCCTAATATTTTGTCGGTCCTCCTTTTGCCCGGCGAAGTGCAGCAACTCGACGTGGCATGGACTCAACAAGTCGTTGGAAGTCCCCTGCAGGAATATTGAGCCATGCTGCCTCTATAGACGTCCATAATTGTGAAAGTGTTGACGGTGCAGGGTTTTGGGCATGAATTGACCTCTCGATGATGTCCCATAAATGTTCAATGGGATTCATGTTGTGCGATCTATGTGGCCAGATCATTCACTGGAATTGTCCAGAATGGTCTTCTAACCAATCACGAACAGTTGTGGCCCGGTGACATGGCGCATTGTCATCCATAAAAATCCCATCGTTGTTTGAGTACATGAAGTCCACGAATGGCTGTAAGTGAACTCCAAGTAGCTGAAGTTATCCATTTCCAGTCAATGATCGGTTCAGTTGCACCAGAGGACCGAGTCCATGCCATGTAAAAACAGCCCAGACCATTATGGAACCACCAACAGCTTGAACAGTGCCTTGTTGACAACTTGGGTCCATGGCTTCGTGGGGTCTGCGCCACACTCGAACCTTACCATCAGCTCTTACCAGTTGAAATCGTGACTCATCTGACCAAGTCACGGTTTTCCATTCGTTTAGGGACCAACCGATATGCTCACGAGCCCATGAGAGTCGCTGCAGGCAATGTCGTGCTGTCAGTAAAGGCACCCGAGTTGGTCTTCTGCTGGCATAGCCCAAGGAAGATAAATTTCGCCGCACTGTCCTATCGGACACGTCCCTCGTACGTCCCACATTGATTTCTGCGGTTATTTGACGCAGTGTTGCTTGTCTGTGAACACTGACAACTCTACGCAGACGTCGCTGGTCTCGGTCGTTAAGTGCAAGTAGTCGGCCACTACGCTGTCCATGGTGGGATGTTATGCCTGAAATTAGATACTCTCGGCACACTCTTGACACTGTGGATCTCGGAATGTTGAATTCCCTAACGATATCCGAAATGGAATGACCCATGTGTCTAGCTCCAACTACCATTCCGCGTTCAAAGTCTGTTAATTCTCGTCTTGCGGCCATAATCAAGTCAAAGCCTCTTCACATGAAATAACTTGAACACAAATGAAAGCCCTGCCAAAGCACTTCGCATTTATACATTTTCTATGCGATACTACTGCCATCTGTATATTTGCATATTGCTATCCCATGACTTTTGTCACTTCAGTGTAATACAAAGTCCGAGATCCGGACTCGTCGGGACTTCTGCAATTCAGGATTTGGGATCTTTCCAGATATTAGATCATCAGTTTAAATCTAGCGAGATGGCATGCAGAAATTATAAAATTAAAAATATGAAATTGTGATTTATGAAATAATGAAGCATCTATGATCATCAAATTCAAAATATCAAAATTTAGAAAAAATATTTTATCAAAATTTGCAAAAAAAAAAAAAAGGCTTAATATTTATTTATTTACTTTATTAAACATTTCTTTGCATGCAATTTGTTTAAGCTGCTTCATTTTTTCTGCTAATACTTTCTCTTCAAATTCTGTAGACAGACTTAATTTCTTGTTCAGTTACAAGGTTCCCACTGTTCTACTCCTGTAGTTGCTGCGTCGAGAATTCTCACTAACTTGTCAATCGAAATTTTTTCGTTTTCAATAACCTCTCATCACTTTCTTCACTTTTGATAACGGTATCTTTTGGATATATAACCATACTACAGATTCAACCGTCCATTAATTGATTGATAATTTGAACATTGCTAATACTATGAAAAACTTCTATTATACTATCTTCACTTATTACCACTTCTCTACATTTCTTTACAAAATCCATTAATTGGAATAGCAGATACAAAGCTACAGAGCCAAATTATTGATCACACAAATTTATGCTAAAATAATCATTTCTTTTAAAAAAGGTATTTTATTTAGTACCAAAGTGAAATTAAGAATTCACATTCTCCACATGCTTTCTTACAGGGGAAAAAAATCAAATGCACATGCGTAAAGCATTAAAACAAATTCCTAAAAAAAATTTTGTTGGTAAATTTAAGGTCCGGATTTTAGATCATTTCGGATATTAGACATCCGGACCTCAGACTTTGTACTGTATAATTTGTACTATATAAAAAACTTTTTTTTTAAACATACAGTACAAAGTCCGTAATCCGAACTCATCGGGACTTCGGCAATTCCGGATTATAGATCATCAATTTAAATCTGGTAAGATGGCATGCAGAAATTATACAATTAAAAATATGAAACCATAATTTATGAAATAAAGAGCAGTTATGATCCAAATTTTACAAAAAAAAAAAGCTTAATATTTATTTGTTTACTTTATTAAACATTTCTTTCAATGTAAGTTGTTTAAGTTGCTTTGTTTTTTGTGCTAATACTTCTCCTTAATTCTATAAATAGACACAATTTCTTGTTCAGTTACAAAGTTCCACTGTTTAAGTCCTGTTATTGCTGTGTTGAGAATACCGACTAACAACGACAACGGAGAAAATCATTACTCCTTTAAATGCTCGAGGTCATGCATGTTTTCCGATTACGAAAAGTTTGCACTTGTGCATTCCTGCAGCATGTGTGTACGTTAAAATTGTTAGTCTTGCTTTGGAATCTTTGACACCAGTTAGAGCCTTTTCTGTAGAACCAGATGATTAATGAACTGTGCAATCTGCAACATTAACTGAAATGCCTTAATCAGTAAAGATAATTTTAGTCTAGCTTATACCGTCCGTTATATATTAAATGCACATGCATAAAGCATACAAAAAAAAGTTCATGGCTTTGAGGTCTGGTTTATAGATCATTTCGGATAATGGATGTTCGAGTTACGGACTTTGTACTGTATAAACAAATGTAGATGGTAGACATCAATTTGTCAAACTGATGTCTACCATCTACATTATGAAATCATACAATTCTTCTTATATTATGCAGTAAAAATAACTAATTAAAAAAGCTTTCAAGGTATTTAAATTATTACTTTTTAATACATAAAAAATGACATACTAAAAAAACTCATAATATTCTTAAGGTTATTATTATATGTTTTTTAATGGCAGCACAGCTTTATTTCTAAAATACTTTAAAAGAAAAGTTAGTACTTATATATTATTCCATCGATTATGAAAGCCGGCAGAAATTCTGCCAAATATGTGAAACTCGTTCTTATGGAATTTTGAAGGAACTATCTCCTTTTTATTAAATAAACAACCAGTAAATGGTTCGAACTGCTCAGTTTTTGTGCTTCATTAAAAAAAAAAAAAAAAAAAAAAAAGCTTTTTTCGATTTTTAATATTTTGTTAAATCTTCTGATTTTATCAAAGTACAGGTAATTGTTCCAATCTGTCAATATTTTGTCAGACATTCAGCTGACAATATTGTGTCCATTAATACACACTTTTTTTTATGGTAGGATACCATAACTTTTGAAAATAATCTACTGCTTGTTGTTTTGTTAAAAGCATGTCCCAAATTTTAAATCTTCTTTTTCTCTAAACTCAAGAAAAAAAAAAAAAAAAAAAAAAAATACAGCTATAACAGTTAATTTAAATCTTTGTTCACAAAAACAAAAATGTGGTACATAATTGTTGCAATATCTTACTGTTTTGACGCCCATATTCAGTTGACCATAACATGTCCATTAATCTTTTTTTTTTTTTTTTTTTTTTTTTTTAAAGGTAAGATCACATAACTTCGAAAATAATCCACTCATTGCTGTTCTGTAGAATGCAGGTTCGAAATTTTACTATATATATATTTTTTCAAAATGCAAGGAAAAAATAGAGCAGTAACAGTCGATTAATATCCTTGTTCATAAAAAGCAAAAGGTGGCTTTCTGAAAATTAATCAGATTAAATCATACAAAACCACATATACTATGAATGTGCTGTTAAGTCATGCTTATCCATGATTGGTGCTAAATTATGCTGTTTTATGGCATTTTTACAATTGATGGGATAATACATAAGTATAAAAAAAATCTTGATATTTTGCATAATTATAGAAAAGGCATGTAAAATACAATTCAGTACTGCCAAATGTGCTATGCATACAAATCAAATATCACAACTGAAATGTTGTTACAGGTGAAGCATCATGCAAGTTTACGTTCAGATAGCCATTGCACGGATAAATTCAAAGTATTATGAATGCAGAGGACAGCTTACAGATTCTCCAGCAATACTGTGAAAATACTCTATTGCAGTACTTCTTTTATATTTAGCAGATAAAATGCAAGCAAACACTTGATAGAACATTATAATGACATCTCTTAAAGACAATCTCATGCAAATATTACTTTGTTCTAACAATTTAATATATCAAAGTTAACTGAACACAAAAAGTATTCTTGCCAATACCATTTTTGATTTAAATTAGTAACCAGTCATAATCAACAATGTGTCAGAAGCTATTAACCCCCTGAGTGGCATGATTTCTTTTACCCAGTCATGAGATTTTTCATCACTTGGTATATATTAACTTCTAACTTAAAATATTTTTCTTACTCACTTCACTAAATATCATCTTAATGAATGAAAGTTCATGAAAACTTAGACTGAAATTATTAATTATATAAATTTAGCTCTCTCTTTTAATTAATAAATGCTGATTAAACACAGGCCTTCATCGGGAGATTCAAAAAGTTGTACGCCTCAGAGAATTAAGTAGAAAGTCTATGTTAGTAAGTATTACGCAGCAGAAAGAACTCCTAATTTGAGAGAGGCAGGAAGATATACTGGTTAGAAGAGCATTGCCAAACAGTGCCATTTCAGATAATTCTGTCCAGAGATTACAGTCAATGTAAAGTAAAAAAAAAAAAAAATTAAG